AATATTCTTACAGGACCGGTAATTGGTATAGGCCGTAAATCGATATAATCCTTTCGAGCACGAATAATTTGACACATTTTCTTCTCTGAATGTGGGAGCAAAAATAAAGTTCACCGTCGATCCACAGATCTACAATAGTTCGTGAAGAGTAAACAATCGCATTTGATACCACAGAAGAGTTACTCTGATACAGCATACTAGAGGAAAAGTTTTTTTTTAATGTCATAATCTACATGAACTTGATTGAACGCAACATTATACATGTAAAATAAGCTAGTTTTTCTCGGATCCAAAGGCAAAAAAAAACGACATCTAATATTGTATTGACAACAAATACAATATCAGATGTCTTTCAGATGAGATTTTATTTTATTTCGGATAGATCCAAGAACAAAGAATAATTCGACAAAAAAGTTTAAATATGTTCTCTTTGTTCGTGTCGTAACTTCTCCACTCTTCGTTTGCAGTCGATATCTTCCAATGAAGCTTGTACCCTGCAAGTACCGTGGACCATAGTTTCCACTTCATCGTCGAGCTTTTTCGTGAAATCACGAAATTTCTGGATAAAACTTTGTAGTCGGATGATTTCCAACTCTTGTTGTTGGCTCTGTCGCCGAAGTGCATCTTGTTCATACGTGATCTGACGAGAATGACGGTGACGACCATGTCGAGATTTTTGTGAAGATGAAATTCCAGGACAAGCATGTTGCATTTCTTTAATGAAAACCAAACGATCTACGCTCAATCACAGTGGTGTCATAAATACTTACCAATATCCCAATTTTTGGTTTCATTTGCATGTGTAGCATCCATGATAAGAGTTGATTTGGGCAAATATTCCGCAAAAAAGATGATTATCTACAAGAATAAGCGAAAAACAAATAGCGGTTAACTATTATTTGTAGAGCAAAACCGATATGGAACATGGCTGTATTTCATGTGAAATATTCTTTTATCATGTCAACCCTTCTAGAGCACAAAAGTAACCATCAGCTATCAGTCTCGTTGTTCGTACAAGTCAACAAAATCGAAATAAATCCTTCTCAGTTTGCGATCGTGTTTTCAAGTGCTTTTCATCTGACCTCTGTGCATCTCTCATGACACCGTTAGACTCTTTGCATTCGTACTGACATTTACAAACTTCACTATGTGAGAAAAAGCATACCTCAAGTTGCATCGTAGAACTCTACTAGATCAGGTTATATTGTATTTCGCAAATGTAGCAAACAGATATAAAAAAAAACATGTCGACAACGGTAACGCGAGAACACAATACAGCCAAAATAAGAACGAACAATGAAAGGCCTATCTTTCAGAGTCCTCGATACCGTAGACCTCCCTCAGGACGTTCGAGATGAATTTCTCCAAGTCGGTTTTGAATAGCACCAAAACCAGAAGCAATTTGGTCGAGATGGTCGTAAATTTTCCCAGGTAAAGCATACAATTGCTCTACCTTTTCTTTTAATTCATCGAGAACGATTTGTTGTTGATAACTTTTCTCACGAAGAAAAGCATGCTCTTTCAAAATGGACCGCAGCGCCGAGTTGTCTTCCTCTTGAAGATGTCGTTGACGTTGTCGTTGACGTTGCCGTCTTCGTCGTTCTCGACGTTTCTCTGTCGGTGAAAGCCCAACACAAGCACCGTATGTATCTTTAATGAAAATCAAAAGATTCTTACTTAATCACATCAACTTTATATGTACCTACCACTCCAACTTTTGGTTTCGTTTCTCTGCATAGCATCCATGATAAAATAAAAAATCTACAAGAATAATGGAAATTCAAATATAGAAGAATTGTTACATCGATTTAAACTCGTTCTTGAAATTTATTGGCAAACTTATGTGTGAGACAACACAAAACTTATCTTGTTCCTTGAACATTAAGTGTTTTATCTGTAGCTACGTATTCCTACTGTACTACGTTATATTCGTAAAGACAAAGTTTATTATTAATTTTCAATTATACATTGCAACAAAAAAAAACAGTGTATAATTTCAAACAGACAACGGACACACAAACAAAGAAACAAAAATGAAGCAAGTCAGTTACTTGTCTTCAGTCTTAAATATCGGCGTACATCATGTATGGTTTCCATTCTACAATCAATCAAAAGGAAACTATATAGTCGAAAAATATGTTCCTATTACTTACCTCTCGTCGATGAGTCGGATGATCTTTTTGTGTGGATAACGATCACTAAAGTCAACTCGAAGATCAATCTGAGCACAACGAATAACCAAAGTTGGATCATGTTCATCGATTAATTGATCCAATACTAAACCAATGGATCGACGTGAAAAAGGAAGAATCAACTGAAATAATACGCAACATTATGATTCATGAAACGATATAGGACGAGTAACAGCCCACAACAAACCGAACTCAATGCTTACCTGTTTTTCTTTTGTATATGCCAAATGAAGAAAGAAATTTTTCTTCCGTACAATTTCTTGTACCTAGATGTAGGAACATGATCGCAAATGTTTTTGATATGAGCAACAAGAGTCGGGAAAATACCTGTCGTTGTTCTTCCTCGAAATCAAAACGTGGGCCAATAGCTCTGCCTTTTAACATTGACATTCGAAAAGATTGTTCAATACTAAGCAAAAATCTAGAAAATCAAAGTGAAGATTTCTAACAGTTTTGCTCTAAGACACGAAAAAAAGAAAACACGCAGAATAAAAATTTAACATTGATTACAACAGCCATAATAGTACTCCAATTATAATAAAAACAAGAATAACAATCATCAAAAGTGGTCGAATGATCTTACAGAAACACTGAATATGACCCAAAAATACACTTAGTTCAATGAATGCATCAAAACTTCGTTTATTTATAAGACGCAATTCACATTCGAGACTGTCTGCTCGATTCTCTAATGCACCAATTAATGACCATAAGCCAGAAGATATGTCGTCATTTAATTCCATTAGATACTTCATTTGTTTGATGTGCTTCCAAATTTCCTGTTCTTCACGCTTGTGATGACATGTTTCGATATCTGTGCATTAGCAATTCAAATGGGAAAACAAAATAGGCGCACTTATAATCTAACCAATGGGTCTACATACGACAAATAATCTTAGCAACATTCGTTGATGAATTCTTTTCCATGACTCAATAGGCAAAACTGGTATGCTTATATAAATCTAAAACATACATTAAAATCAGCGACCCTCTTTCGATCAGGCCAAATTAATTATTGGATATGTTCTAGAGAACAAAATATTAGTGTCTAGTTTCGGCCTTGCTCAAGGGCCTCATCAGGTGGCTTATGCGTTCATTATACTATTCAAATGATATTTCATTTGGCAGTATGCTGAAAGTTCCATCTCTTCCTCGAGGGAAGAACGGAACAAGAGCTACCACGACCAGACTCACACAACGGTACTATCCATCTATAGTACAGTGCAATACTGACTAGGTCCGATCAAATAAACATGTACCTCAAATATTCTATCATAATGTAACAATCTTGAACTGAAGCATTAGCAAATATTGCTACACTTAGACTCCTTTTCTTTACCCAGACCATCTCTTGTTGGCGCCTTGTCAAGAGACTTGCCTGTGGATCGAAAAGTATGGGTCTCCATTATGAGTTTGATTTATGACCCTTTAGAAACTTTCTCCCTAATGACGTTTCTGCATTCGACTTTATCTATGTTGCTTCCTCAAGGATAAGTTAGGATTTTGTATTCGTTAGTATCACTCTCAAGTACAAAAAGCGGTGTCATTGTGAACATCAGAATAGGCCAACATTCTACTAGTTTATTTATATTCTCTAACAGCGTAATATCATAACCTGGCGAAAGCCGATGGTCGAGAAGACACTTCGAGAATTCATTCTATACAGGATTGCCCTCAAAGTACATTGGTTGGTGAAATAATAGATGAATTATTTCTTCTTGTCAATAAAATGGTCTGTTGATGACGCCTTGTCAATTGACTGTTTTACCAAAAGAAAAGTCACGTGGATTTTTTTCTTATAAGAAATATATGTATATTTGCATTTGCAATGGACGTGTTACGAGAATGCTAGTTACGTGCATCACTTTTATGCATAGCGAATATGCACATTAAAAGATAGTATGATGAACGTCTCCTTTGTGATGATGTTCATGAGAAATGTTGATCAATATGTATATATATATTGAGGTAAAAATAAGCATATCTGTTCGTATGCTTTACTCTGTGTGACAAGTCTAGTGGAACTAGAACTATTCAATTGAGAGTGAATAAAATAGACAAGCGTTGTAAGGAATATACTATATCCACAATGACTTGACTTTCATCAATTTCTTTTTATTTCGAATAGACTCCATTTCTGTAAGTGTCTCTGTGCTTGATTAAATAACATAGACCGTTTCTGGTTGCCATGTATTTTGATCATTTGCATTTTATACGAGTACCTGCGATATTGTCGTCGCCAGCTTACTCTTTTTACTGATTAAATAATGCTCAGAAACGAGCTCAGTTGTTGATATTCACACGATAGGAAAATAACTTTTCGCTAAAAGTTCATTGAGCAAGATTATGTTCAAGACTTCTTTTCTGTTTGTTCTATACATTTGCTAATTTAGCTCTGCCAATAGCTTATACCGAATGCCAATTCATTTCATAAGATCACACCTAAAGTATAGCTTAGATGGAGAATATATCGATTTTTATTTTTAGTTTTCCATGCAGAATATGTCAGAATATATTACATGCACTGAACAGATCGTATATAGGTAGAAGAATATTCCTAATCGATCGAATCCTACTGAATTTAGGTAAATGATACTCTCAGTAGGTATTTATATGAATGGGCTGTAGTTCAGAACAATACATCACATTCAACGACCGAAGCTAGCTTAGTTTTGTAACACATATACAGTATGTTATAAAACGATGGTGACTTGTCATAGTTTGTCAAAATGAACTACCGTGTGTCAACTTTTATTTGAAGATCACATATGTTATCCGAACAATAGAGTAACATATCTGTCGTTTTCATATATATTTATGTCGAAATGTTCTTTACTATTAAAGTTTCGACGAGAGCAAAAGATCAGAATACGGTACCGCCAAGTCATGTGATACAATATCGATTTGGCCTGTTTCATTAAATGCGAATGAAAATGACTCTGTGCAAGCACCTTGTATTAAGACGATAGAAATAGAGTTTCTTGTCACACAACATAAACAATCCCGTATTGCTTCCACCGATCTTCATGTAGCAATAATCTTCTAACTCACTTTAATCCGAACCACTACGCAACTAAAGACGTGATGCTGGATTCTTCCAACGATTAAAATACTCATCTTCTCGCAATTCATTGCGCAGAAATCAATTCTTCTTCCAATAAACAGAAAAATCATAACATTCATCACACTCTCATCATTCTGAGAAGCAGATATAACTGAATATTATGAATCTTCCGCCACACGAGTTGCTCAATCAACATCGTCCATTCACTACCACACCCATCAATGATTGCATATGACCCCGTTCAATAAATCTCAATAAACATCCGGCCACTATACATGCCATCATCCTTCCCTGTATCAAATCAGGCTTCTTAACTGTACCATAGAATAACGCATTCCATTCAACTCAGCGATAGCCCTTACACGTGAAGACACCAAGTAACCATTCACTACCACATCACAACATCCATTGCCGAGCATAAAAACACATGCAGACAGCACCACTGTCCACAAATACAGCATCGTGAAGCAAGATCATTCTTGTGTTGGTCCAGTCAGTGTAAAAATTCCTATATCGGAATCACCAACA